AAAAAGAACAAAAACACCTTTTATCAATGTTCAAAAATGTTTTCGTTCATATTATTATAAACTGATAAAGTTATCTGACCCTTAAGATATAATCACACTAAATTATATTAACTCACTGGCGCCCCCGTGCTAATATCAAAAAGTGTCACAAGATTCTTGTCACCTTTTATCTTTTATGTCCGCTTTCTATGCATATGTAACTTTTAAATACTTTCTGACACAACTAATCACGATAGTAGCACAATAGCGCATTTCTTACTCAGATATGCTTGTCGCATTGTCGATCAGAATAGGCGCCATATTGGAAAAATGGCGCCAAACTGATTATAAAAACTAGAACAAATCGCACCAATGGATTTTATTATAACTTTATTGTTTAACCTACCTTAACGTAAAATGTTAATTTTATGATCATTGCCTATTTGTGTATTCCGAAAAGGAGAAAACGTCGCAAGGCGCTAATGAAATATTTAGTTTGTTCCGTGAAGCACATCGAAGAGTCCGGGGTTCGCAGGACGACGTGTTTGCGACGTTGGCGAGGTCGAGGGCGAGGTTGCCTAAAGTTTAATAACATGCATAACCTCCAACACCCGGTCCTTCCGCGAACAATAACCCGAGCGGACAATTTTCAAAATGATAATGCAAAAGTTCGTACAGACGAAAAAAAAATAGTCATAACACTGACGATTTCTCATAACAACCCTCGGGTCGGAGGCTTCCAAGGATTAATTATGAGTTCCGAGTAGGCCCGCCCGCCACCGGGCCATTCAATTCTCGGTAAACTTGAATCGAAAAAGGAGCAAAAACGGACTCGGCTCGTTCTCAGAATACGCATACCTGTGCCCGCTCGCGATCCCACCTTGCTCTGACGTTTCGATCCAACGCGCATTTTCCTAGTAGGCTCCCCTCTTAGAACAAATATCTGCCTTTTTCATACCCCCGTCTAATCGTTTTCTTGTTATTTAATGCGTCAATGGGTATATATATTTAATTTTAATGTATTTCCATTTTATTTAATAAACATATTAAATAAAACCTAAGTGATTTTTACATTAATTTTTGTAGAAAAAATTGAAAGGTAAGTTACTTATCTTGGTCGAGTTAATTCTTCCAGAGTACACTGTCGGGTGGTTAACCTACGCCTCAGTAATCAAGCCAACGATATTTTATTGTACATGAGTTTCTAGAAATAGCCATTGGTGTCAGGGACCCGTGGCCAAGTGTTTGGTGGGGGAAAGTCAATTCTAGTGATTAAATACACCTGTACGTATTATTCAAAATATTTATAGACTAAGAATAAGGTTTTTAATATCATCATAGTTATATTTACTTGGTAAATTAAAAACTTTTTCTAACATCAAAGCGGGTAAACACTTAAATAACGAAATAAAAACTTCTAGAAAGAGTACGGAATAGAATTTCAATAACTCTATTGTAAATATAAAATACTTGGTAATTTTGAAAGTAAAAGTCCTAAATTATACATTAATATAAATTTAAGTACATATAGAACGTACATTATATCTTCTACAGCTGAAACTGCGCATTTTTTTGGGTAAGAATAGATTACTATAGATGAAAATTAGAACGGTTTTTGTTTAATTATAACATAAAAAAGACTCGTTTATGGAAAATGTAAATAAAAATAGAAAAATAAATAATAAATCTACAACAATAAAATACTTACATAAGGCTATTGTGTGGAACATAAAAGGTAATCAGAGGTTTCGTACAACCGTCGTAAAATTCCTTACGTGGCAGCCATTACGCTATTTACCTTTTTCAATTATTTTTTGTATCGTAAAATAAGAATAGCTAATATTACATTGTTATATTATAAAAATAGTTTTAACGGAATTATTTTATGGCTTTTTGGGATAAATTGCTGTTTGTCTATGTTGAAAATAATTCGGTTTAATAATGGAACGTAACACATGTGTACACTAAGGCAAAAGACTAGAACCCAACATGGGCATAAAGAATAAAGTAGTTTATTTAATTAGACGTCAACCATACACTATAAAGAATGTTCACAAGTTAAATTGATGCTCATAGCTTTCTGTAATCGACCTAATTGTCGGCGCTTTTTGCGGTATACAATGCAAAGCATTACGCCGCAAATGAACATGTTTCAAACAGTATTCTGACCATTTGCAATGTTTGCTATGTCTATATTGCATTTTTTTATACCAGTAGGCATCGAGAATAAACTTCTTTTTAATCCTCACTGCCGAAACCGTAACGAATTGCAATTTTAATTTCTTCACTCAAAAAGATGACATTTTTTTTACACAAGAATTTACATAATGATATATCAACATTTTTATCTTTAAACCGGATTTTCATGGATTTGTCTGAATCAAAATGAGCTCAGCTTGCGACGACAATAGAAATGCCTCTAGCAACTAGTCTAATAAATCCGCTCGTTCAGGTTTTCTTTTAGTAGTGTTCTATATTATCTTTAAAGAAGATTTAACTTGAATCCAGATTTATTGCATTTTGAGACTAAAGAATACAAGATAAGTGACTTTCTTTCGATTTTCCAAACATGCAATTTTGGTTAGACAACTTGTCACAAATATTGGCAACCGAAAGTGGATTCCAGAAAAAAAAACGTCAGTCTTGCGGCCAGTTTAATCTAATTCTTGAATTCGTAGAAAATGGAACATAAAACATATTCGGCTTTCAAAATAATTCATGCATGCAAATAATCAGTGACCCAATACCACGCTGGGTTATCTACACATTAACATGTTAAGTCGATTCCGCGAAAATTACTAACGTAATAGAACAATAAACATTAACAATAGACATTGCGTTAAGAGGTTCTTTGATGCTTAAAATAACGCTGCAAAAAACGCCATTGTTTCCCTTCGTGGATAAACAAAGGCAATGTCGATTCCCGGTAGACGATTTACCTCCGATGTTCCCGGTAAAGTAACAATGTACGATTGTCTGCGTCGTTCGACCAGCCAGGGGTGCTTGTGCGCACCATTGCGAAAATGAATATTGTTAACCCAGAAAAATGTGTGCAAAATTACAATATTATAATTATAATTTTCCAATGTGGCAACACTGGTATGAAATATTTTGTCATCCTTTCGTTCTTTAAAAAAAAGAAACCGAGAACACTATATAAGCTCAATTGGAATGTCACAGTTGTAAAGCAATTTACATTATGTACCGCTTAAAATGTTCCCGCACTCAGAATCGTTCTATCACTAAGGGCCGTAATGTAAATTTCTGATACTATGTTTACATTCCGAAATCCGCATTGAATCAAGCATTGTCTAAGCGCCTCTGCGGTAAAAACTTTGAAATATCTTGACCTGTAAAAACTAAGTTTTGCAACCGGATTACGGTACGTGAAAGAATATTTATTTTGTATCTGTGGGTTTACACTACACTGATACGTTACTATTAATTTGAAGAATGACAATATTGGCATATTGTCATTCTTCAAATTCTCTTTCACAAAACAGATACAACAATATGTATCAAAACAAATATCACAACAGTCAAAACACAACACGTGTTGCATCAAAAACATATACGTTTACAAATTCAAAGTAAAATTAGCTATCATAATGATAAATACATAGTATAAAATATTTTATAATATATTCCTTGAAATCTTGAACGTTAAATGTAATTTAACTTGAAATAATATTGGAGCTGTTTGCGGCTTTAATGTTCGAACAATTCGCCGAAACAACAACTGAAATTATCTTGAAGGTCGACCGAAAGCTTTCAAGGAAAGCTACAAATTTATATTAAGTATTTCATTTGAATTAATATTTATTAGTTTTGTCTTATGATTTATCTCTTTTAATACGAGGCTTTTACTTAGTTGTTAGTATCCATAATATCAGATACTTTCGCCTTAATTATATTTAAATAAAATTCAATTTAAATTTGTATATAAATCTAATCATTGTGTTAGACATCTAATTTATTTTTGATGAACATATTGAACAGAGTTCAATATTATACGCGTAAGAACGATGTTCACGATAAATAATATTTATTTCCTAATTTTACCGCAATATTAGGATGATTTTATGAAACTTATAATAGTTGCGAAATACAAATTTGCACTTTATGTCAAAGTTTATTACATTTCATTTTAGCATAACAAGACTATCTACATTGCTAAAGCAAAGAATCCATTGCAGATTATATTACATCTCAGATTTCCTATATTCATTTCAAGGAATGTATTAAAGGCATGATTATGTGTAATATTATACCGTTAATGTGCCTAAAGTTTTAGTTTACCATTTAATAACAGTTGTAAACCTTGAAGATGGTCAAGAATTTCTGCTACCATTCGACAGTGCGCCTAAAATAAATGAAGGTTAAACATTTAACTATTTAAAAAGCACTAGGCGAATAATTTTGAGGTTTCGAGATTGTCTTCCTAGGACTAGGCCAAGATTCCTATTTACTTTATAGCTGTCTAGATGGCCAGATATTCCAATAAGTAACCCATTAAGCAAGTAATCCTAAACTCAGTATGGGTACCTTTAGTAAGTGTTGTCTATGGCATCAAATTCTTATTTATCAGTATCAGTAATGAGTGGGGAAAGAAATTGACGATAACACACAAATATACAGGTAAAGGCAGGAGTTAAAAGTTTTATTGCTGCGTACATATTCGTTGCTTAAACATGTTTATATTCGTTCTAGTAGTTGGTAGTGAGTACTATACAAGAAAAGTATAATAGTTCCTATCTTTAGCTATAAATAGGCAAGGAAAAACGTAGCGTGTTAGTACTAATAAATGTAAACAATGTGCTATGTATGAATGACCCGGCGACCTGAAAGATATCGCTTGTCGCTTGGCGCCATTACGTATCGTCTGTATTATGTTTGCATAGTTGTTTAATAGGGCTGTGCTATGACATGCTGAACAACTCATTTGTCATAAAATCGCTATCATTATGTTAGTACAGTTAAGTAAACATTTCGCATTAGTGGTAACGGGGAAGGAAGCTTACCTGGTAGTTTGACCACCATTGGAGGAGCGATGGGGTGATTGGGATCCAATGTAAAAGCCGTAGGTAACAACAAAACACGGAAACACACAGTACCACTTATAATTACTAATATTTCCTCAAATCCACTTTACTGCCGTTGCGCTTCTCGGTAAACTCTTTATAAGCAGTTTCGTAGAAGCCGAGCGCACTGGAGAAATTATTTTGTAGAAATCGACGTCGCCGGCGGCGCTTCGTCCGCGTGCCGTAGCAGAAACCGTTTCTAAGAACGCGCACATTCAATTTCACTCAATGTGGTGTATTTATCACAAATAACGATATCGCCGCGGGAGGTGAAAGTTCGGCGAGGCGAGTCGCCGCAGCGATGGTTCCCCTTTCATGTACGAAAGTCGACTGGCGCTGGAGCGGCACGACGCGCCACATGAAGTAAACACGCGCGGGCGGCCCGCGGAGGCGAGCGGCGCGCGGCGCGGCGGGAGGCGAGCGCACCACGCGCTCGAGCTCGTTCGCCGCTCGCTGTTCGCCGCTTGCCAGCACGGCATAGCGAACGTCGCCTCGCTCGCTTTGCTAGAGTCACCAACGTGCCCGCACTTCCCAGAATTACCAACCTTGGCGCTTCTGAGAACTACACCAAGGCATTGTCACTAATTTATATAAAACTTGCAGCCGCACTAGCACGACAGCCGGCATGGGAGGTGGCTCGTGACCACGATAAGAACTATCGACACGCAGACAGTCTATTGACCTTTTGTAGTAGGTACTTTAACCGGTAAACTTTGGTAGCGAATAAAGTTCCGCCCTTCGTGTTTTATGTGGAAGCGGTGGAAGCAATGAAGAACGTCGGGGAGTTCATTCACTTTAAGATCTACTTCGTCTGACGGTTCAAGAACTTGCTACTCTTATTAATTACACAGTCAATTAAAATTTCGGCTTAGAACTATCGATTTTAACTAAAATTACTGGCATCATGGAGCACGTGTATGAAAATGATAGAGAACTTTATTTAATTTTAAGCTTTTTCCACATTTATGGGGAATAATTTTGTATACATTTAAAAAATTAGATTGAATTTAATTTATAGTTTGAAAGTTCTCTTAATTAACTTTCAATATTAAATGAAAAAGCATATCAAACTTAAACGTTTTGCTTACACACACTCTGGGTCATCTTTAATCTTCTCTTCTAATAAACTGCATATTTAAAAAATATTGTAAAATAGGATACTATAATAAGCAGCATTTTTTTACATCTCTTATCTTTTCTATTCCTGTTATTTATCTGCATTTACAATGTAGAGTCCTTAACAATGGATAATTCTCTCCAGCTGGTCCTCAATCAATATGAATCAAGATAATCGAATGTTCTACGAAATACGACGCGTGTGACATGCGCCGTGCTTCCCCGAATGATCGTTTCTTCATGCTCTCTAGGTACAGTCGCGATGAAAAAACCTAACAGAGAAATTGTTTACGCGCAAAGTTTATTAACGACCTACAGATGCGTTTCTAAGATTTACTTAACTATTCTATTTATGTATTTTAATCTTAAGTATTGTAAGTACTTCAATGAATACTATTGAAAAATTCCGAGTACTTATAAACAATGAGAATAACAAATAAGTACTCACAACAAGAATTAAACTCTCTTTTAACAATAGTAATTGTTGAATGAATGTTTTATTAAAATTGAAGTTTAAATAATAAATGATTGAAACAAAGAACGTTTACCCTTTTAATATACGTTAGTATTTACTGTAAAATAAAATAGTTTGTTTTTACATATCAACTGCATTCGATCTATTTGCCTTAGTAATAAATAAATCGTTAGACTCTTAATACTAACTATAATATTAAGAGAATAGTGCTTTTCAGTTTTTTTTTCAAAAAACAATAATATCAGGAGATTTTTTAATAATCTATAAAAGTATTTAAATAATAAATAAATAAAATTAATCAACAATATATATACAAAACCGAAAAAAATACATAAAGTATTAAGTATGCGATTGTACGTAGGGGAAATAGGGCCAGATGGTACACAGATGGTGCCATGCATTCATCTGCCATTATTTCGTCAATAACGGGCTATACAATAAAAGCGAGCACTTACCGTTGCCCAACAATCGTTAAAACTTGGCGCCATTCATTATGACTTTCTGAATAGCTCCCTTAGTTCCTCTCCATTTTATTGTTTACTGCTTTGAACTAAATAAATTTTACAACTATAGTTAGAAATTTAGGATTACTTGAATAGTTAGTTTGATAACTTTTAATGATTGACCTCTGGTACAATATTGCCATCCCGCTCATTCTACTTAAATAAACAGAGACAGCAATATCATTCTTTAATTATTTTGACAGTTGAAAGTGACAGTTATAATAACCTCAACTTTAGAAAAAAAATAATGCCGCTTTCTTTTCCCGGTATTTTATTTCCTTGAAAACGCATTTATTATTCATAAACAACTTTCACACTTTTGCGAATCGTTATTGTAAGAGGGACGTGGATAATAAAAGCGATGTCAAAATGTATGTATGTACTAAAGTGTCTGTTCGAGTTTGTGACCAATAATAACCTAAAAGGTTTGAGAATTTAGAAATGAACAACGTTCAAATAAAAGTATTGAGAAAACAAACAAAAGCTAGTATAATTAAGTTTGAAGAAACAGTAAGACGAAGACTGATGTTTAGTAATCAAAAAATGAGGTCAGACCATAGATATCTGAATAGTTTTAAGAAAATAATAAACAAGTGGAAAAATTACGACGAGTTTTCCTCAAATTTCACAGGAATTCCCCTTGTTTATTCGTATCGGGATTTTTCCTCCGAACGCGTTAAGAACGTGTATTCTAAAGTGGTGCTTAAAATAAATTTAAATTTTTGAACCGTATTTACAGCTGCTATTCTCATATTAGTTCCCAGAAATGTTTGTTTTATTTAAAAATGTATCTTTAACGCTATCAAAAGATTTTTCAAACTACTAGACAAAAAAGTATATACTACGTTAGTAAATCTTTTCTACGTTAGACTCTTCTTCTTCTACGTTATTTCTATTATGGTCTGAAAAAACCGTTTAATCTCTGTTCTTTTTGTTTAATATAATTGTGAAATGGTTAATAACGTCTGTATTTGTTAATTTGCTGATCTTATAAATTAATAAGTACACTTAAACCCTGTGGGTTTTGAGTAATGCTGTCTTACCAATATTTGCGTGATTCAGGATATGCAACACGTGCTTGCTGAGTGTGTCCTAAACGAGGAGGAGAGAGGAAGAATATATAAAGAGCACAATTTGTCAAGGCTCAATGTTGCTTTGGCCCATCCATTGTCGGATCTAGCAGACGGCGTCCGAAATATGGTGATAAAGGCTTTGTAGATATAAATTAAGTTTAAATATTTTCTCTTTGTGTTATTTTTTATTATTGTTACTATTATTACTTTTTTTATTTTTATATCGCTTGCATGTATATTTGTAGTGTAATTAGCTCCTAAGTTGATTGTTATGGGACTGACATGTTCAAATGAACAAAAGTCCCTAAAAAAAATAAAGCGAAAAAAAAACAATATTTAAATTGTTATGTAAAGTTTTTGTATAATAAAATAATATCGTTATATGAAAACCTGGAAAGAGTTTCGCAAGAAAAGAAGTATAGGAGAATGTAGAAAGAAGTATATAGTAAGACGGTATACAATGTTAACCAACTTCAAAAAGGAGATTATCAATTAGTCTATGTGATTTTTTGTATGAATATTTTAATTATTATCATCATCTAATACATAGAGATCATAAAAATCCTACTTGAAATAATATACGTAAATAGCAAATTCCAACGGATTTCCTATTGAGATTTAATTGAAATGCGGTGAAAGGTTATTTTGTTATAATGTAAATAAAACCTACATTAGTTTATACATATTTTACTTCTTTCATAAACAACATGGCCGTCAGGAAACCACTTTAGATTTATTGTATAAACACATTTAGTAACAACACTAAACGTTTTCCGAGAAAACTCTCGCAAACTAATAAATTAACTCGGCCCAGTAACGCGTCCATTTCGAGGGCAATAGATTGAAGCTTTATTATATACATGAAACATGAAAATCTATATACTATTTTATTGTTGATTGATTGTCTGGATCTAATTTTTATTTACCTTTTATGCCATCTAAATAAAGTTTGAATTTATAAGAAAATAAAGATCAGTGTTTCTCTTCACATATTATAATTCAACAAGTATTAAGAAAGTAAATCAAACTATAACTGAATTTGTAGTTTCCGAGTTTGATATAAACTATGTTTTTTTTGGCGCACAACGATAAAATTGATATCATCTTCACGCATTTTTCCCGACAGAGGGCGACACAATAGGTACAACTCTCTCATAAATCTCTATCAGCTGTCACTTGAATTCACTCCCTTCATACGCTTCGCCTCTTTCATACAATCCATCCATACTTTTTTCCATCTATCTCTATACTAGTTGTTGCCCGCGACTCCGTCCGCGCGGAATTTAAAGAAAATCTTAATTAGTAGCCTATGTGTTCTACCAGACTGTGGTCTACGTCTATGCCAAATTTCATTGATGTCCGTTCAGCCGTTCTGGAGATACCTTCAAGCAAACATCCATCCATTAAAACATTCATATTTATAATATTAGTATGATATTCATAGACATCCTCGTTTAATCTCGTTACTTTCTTAATGATATGATTTAAGGAAAAACTAGTTTTTATTTCTACAAATATTATTTCAGTTAGTAGAAAAACGATTTAGAAAAATATACGTAATAAACAATATCTAATCACAATGAAAATTGTATTTTTTATCTGTAGATAATATTACGTTACACTATATTTTTTATCTTTACACGAAACACATCAAATATTATTGTTTTGGATTTCTCAGAAGCAATATCTCGTTTGTTACTTTCAGGTAATTACCGTCAGGCGTTTCCTAAAACTAATTAATACATACACAAAGCAATTTATCTAATCTGATACTCGGAAGAGTTGAGACGAATGTGTTGTAACGAACACTTGTCAGTATTACTGCCACAGATTATAATATACGTAATTAAAAAGACTGTTGACCTTTTTAATAAATGTAATTTAATTATTTCATTATTTATAGATTAAATTGGAATTAACAAACGTCGAAGCGTACAAATTTTGTTTATACAGTTATGTCATGTCTCTTAAATCTCGGAGCATAATATGAACGCATGCAAATTATCCTGTCTAAAAATTTGTTTATCTGTGGTATATCAATAACTATCTTAACTATTATGTAAAGTACAGCCGATCTCAAATAGATAACCTTAATACGGATTTGTGTAAATCTACCAGTATTTTTCTCATATCTATATAAATGATAGACTAATCTGGATGTATGTGATAGCTAT